ACCTATCTTTGAGAGTCCTGAAAAAGAAATTCACTAAGAAGTGGTTAGTGATCTTAACGACCGTATATTCATGAGGACGACTGTTTAAAATAGGCCATATATAACTGTTTTGCAAGTACTTTTTCATATATTAGCTGTACACTTCGCAGGCCTAAATGGCAGCAACAGATATCTATGGGACGAGATGAGATCTGCTTTATGACGGGCCGACATTTTTAAACCGCTCCCTTCCGTTATGTGAATGCAGCATTATCCTAGATGGTGGTTATCGTGTGTAAGTACTTTGCTATCATCACATTTCTGTACAACGATCAGTATTGACTTCGCCCTTTGACTTTGAGTTAGCTTCTTTTCATTTAACCGTTCTCCCACTAACCTGTTTGGCATGACGAGACATGAATGAACGAGCATGCTAACCAATATAGCTCAATTGGGTCATTACGATATGCAGGACCGACCACCCTATTAAAGTACCACTCACCGTTGAGGGACTTGTTATTGATATTATTTTTTACCTTATGCTTCTAATTTTGTTGATTTCCTCTTGATATTCTGACGTGAGGTGTGACGATTTAAAATGATATATAGTCGTGTCAGATCCCTACGTTGATAATGAATGACTGACCTTCTGAGTAAAAATCACTTACTTGATAACTATCTGCACCATTTACTACGGCATGAATGGCTGACCAACGCGTCAAGATAACAACTATGGCCAAGTTGTAAACTACACAAGTAAGGCCCGACCGTAGCTGCTACCTTGACGTGGTGGTCGGGCTTGCCAATCGTGATGACCCAACCGAGCTATACTGGCTGGAACATATGTTCCTGCAGGTTTTACCATGCCAAGCAGGTCGATTGGAGAACGATGAGACTAAAAGCAGCTACCCAGGGTCTGAGGGCGAAGTCGAACTGCTGACTGCAGAGGGGTGTGACAGAAGTAAGGTTTTTCCCTCGGACAACCAGCAACTGCAGCGATGTTGCCTTCTCACAAGGAAGGAAGGGCTAGAAAAGGTCGGCCCTAAAAATGTCACACCTCCCCTAACTCACGGATTTCCGTCTCCTTGGGTAAGGGTGCCCACTAATGGCCTTTAAGAACGAAGCTAATCCTCAAAAAGCATTTCATAAAAAGGCCATGTGTGACCAGCCTCAAGCAGTTGTCCCTTGGGCTCTGCGGTCACGCTCACAGGTCTCTAAGACCAACACTAATCTATCTTCCTTTTCAGGTTCCTCAAGAAACAACCTTCCACGGTGTGGGCAGCCGGGAAGTGACAACCGCCCTCATACCCATAACAGCACGCGAGACCAAATTGTTCAAAATCAAATCCTTCCTACACCCCCTAGTACCTCTCTTATCTCCACGACTAACTCTTCTCACATTCATTCATTACAGTGCACAGCTAATGCAGACGATACGAGTTCGCGAAACGTCGTTCCTGGTCTCCTTAAACCTCGTTCTAGTCTACATGTTGGAGCATTTAATGTACGGACATTGTGTCAAATAGGGCAACAGGCATGATTAGCTACGACTTTAGAATCTCGTTCCATCGATGTATGCTGCGTCTCGGAAACGCGCATACAGGATCCGAGTCACGTCATACACTTGGCCACACCATGTCAAAATAAAGAAGCAGCTCGATTTACTCTTCGTGTATCCGGTAGCCCTGATGCTGCTTCCAGGGGTCTTGCTGGCGTAGGCATAGCATTGAGTCGTAGGGCAGAACAATCTTGACTGGATCCCTGTAGATAGTCGCTTGTGCGCCGTCCGACTAAACGGGACAGTAAGGACTCGGAAAGATAGGGACAATCGCCGTTGCCTCTTCATCGTATATGCCTATGCCCCCACTGAATGCAGTTCAGACGAGGTTAAAGATGAGTTTTACAGAAAGCTTTCGGACCTCCTCCAAAAAGCTAGGCGCTCTGATATAGTATTAATGGCTGGTGACTTTAATGCTCAAGTAGGTAGACTAAGTGAGCAGGAGAGACACCTAGGTGGATGTTATGGTGTCGCGGCTCAGAGAACAGACAATGGTGACCGTCTGTTGCAAACATGCTCAGACAACCGCCTATTCTTAGCAAACACTAACTTTAGGCATAAGGAAGAGCATCTGTTGACCTGGCGACCTCCAAAGTCGTCTCAACGTTGGACTCAACTAGATCACATCGCCATCAGCCACCGATGGAGGGGTTCGATAGAGGACTGTCGTTTGTTCTGGGGCACATGCCTAGATTCAGATCATGCCCTAGTGCGAGCGCGTATTTGTTTGAAGCTTACTGGGCGTAGGAAAGACACCGTAAGAAAGCCTCTTAGGGTTTTACTTAATGATAATCAAACCAAAAAAATATTTCAGGAGCAACTAGAAAGACAGTTAGGCGACCATTTAAGCGATTCCCATCCGGAAGCAGGATGGAATGATATCAAAAAGGCTGTGGAAACAGCAGTGATATCTGCTAGTAAGGTTGACCATAAGGCTAGAATGAAGCGGTGGATCTCAGTAGCATCCACCGATCTGATGGATGTCCGAAAACTCATCCCACCTGACTCTGAACATGATGAAAAACGAAGTCAACTTGGGCGCAGACTTATGAAAAGCCTACGTAACGATTGCGAACAGTGGTGGGTGGCGAAAGCAAAAGCGATGGAAAAGGCAGCGGCGATCGGCAACACTAGACAACTTTTCCCACTTATCAAGGAAACTGGTATGAGGAATCCTAGTGTAAGTGAGACTATCTCAGAATATGACGGGACTATTATTTATTCTCAATCCAGGAGACTGGATCGATGGGCAGAACACTTTAGGGATCAGTTCAACTGGCCTCGAGCCACTCTTCGGTTACCCACGATCTCCAGTCATCCTGAATGGCAAATCGACCTAAGTCCCCCTAGTCTTAATGAAGTTGAAAAAGCTTTAGGAAATCTGAAGCGAGGACGAGCTGCAGGTCCTGATAGACTGACCCCTGAGATATTTAAGGATGGTGGTCCAGTTTTAGCAGCTAGGTTGACTGAGATCTTAGGTAGAATCTGGGAACTGGACGTAATCCCATCCGACTGGTCTCAATCACTGATTTTCCCAATCTATAAGAAAGGACAGAAGTCTTCTTGTGACAATCACAGAGGAATAAGTCTAACTAATATAGTTTCTATGATATTGGCCTCAGTAATACTTGGACGCTTAACGAAAGCTCGTGAAGAGCAAACTCGAGAAAACCAATCTGGTTTTCGACCTGGACGTGGTTTTATAGACCACATTTTCACACTACGACAGGTCCTGGAACACAGACACACATTTAGGCGTCGTACAATAGTTGTTTTCCAAGACTTTAAGGCGGCTAGATTGACCGAGATCTTAGGTAGGATCACGGAACTGGACACAATCCCAGCCAAGTGGTCTCAATCCTTGATTGTCCCAATTTATAAGTAAGGACAAAAGTCTTCTTGTGACAATCACAGTCTAACTAATATAGTTTCTAAATTGTTAGCCTTGATTATCCTTAGACGCCTAACTAGAGCTCGTGAAGAGCAAACTAGAGAAAACCAGTCTGGTTTCAGACCCGGACGTGGATGTATGGACCAGATACTCACACTACGACAGGTCCTGGAACACAGACACACATTTAGGCGTCCGACAATAGCTGTCTTCCTGGACCTTAAAGCGGCATTTGACTCTGGATCGTGAGGTTCTGTGGCAGTGTCTGTCATTGAAAGGTGTACCAAAGAAGTACATTCACCTCATACAAGCTCTCTACTCGAACACTACGGGTCGAGTGAGAGCTTATGGCGAACTGTCACCGGAATTCTCTACTTCAAGTGGTGTCCGTCAGGGATGTCCACTCTCTCCATTCTTGTTTAATTTTATCATAGACATGCTCCTAGAAATAACCTCATCCTCGTCTGAATTTTCTGGAGTAGACCTTTTACCAGGTGGCTCGCTTATTGACTTAGAATATGCCGATGACATAGTCCTACTTGGTGAAGACGCTGACAAAATGCAGTCTTCTGACTACCCTAAGCAACAATGCAAGCATGTTCGGGATGCGGTTTTCCCCCTCGAAATGCAAAATGTTGCTTCAAGATTGGGTTTCATCGGCACCTGAACTAGTGATAGGGAGTGAAGTGGTCGAACGTGTAGACCGCTTCACTTATCTTGGGAGTCTCATCAGTGCCGATGGCCTGGTGACTGACGGAATCTCGGCACGGATACAGAAGGCTCGATTGGATTTTGCCAACCTGCGTCACTTATGGCGTAGGCGAGATATCCGTTTGCTGACTAAGGGACGTGTGTACTGCGCAGTGGTTCGCTCCGTCTTACTTTATGGCTGTGAAACATGGCCAATCAGAGTAGAAGATACTCGTCGGTTATTGGTTTTTGATCATAGGTGTCTTCGAAGCATTGCTCGTATATCGTGGGACAACCGAGTGAGCAACGCTGTTATTAGGAAACGAGTACTACGTAAGGATGGCAGATGAATAGATGAAGTGCTGAAACTTCATCAGTTGAGGTGGTTGGGACACGTGTTGCGTATGCCTAACCAGCGACTGCCTCGTCGAGCTTTGTTTTGTAGTGTAGGAATAGGTTGGAAGAAAGGTAGGGGCGGCCAGACCAAAACATGGCATAAATCCATGAAGTCATTGACTAGTGGACTCAGCCATGTCGGTAATTGTCGACTACCTGGTTGGGGTCCGCGAGATGATAATAATCGATGGTTAGAGACCTTGAATGACATGGCTCAAAATCGTTCGCAATGGCGCCGGTGCATTTATTCTTTGTGTTCTCTCAAATCCTAATCTTCTGGATTCTTCAACACCTCTAGCTTTTACTTTCTAAACTTATCTCATTGAATCATACTTCGTGAATAATATCTTCTAATTCTAACCCCTCCGATTACTTCTAATACCTTTACTACCTCTTCTACTATTGGATTTTAATTGACAATTATATCTCTGTGCTGATGTGGTATGGCGACATGAACTGATGTACTTACGTACGAAGTCCTACGTTGCAACTGACTGACACAAGTAAGGCGAATTAAATCAACGACGATTTCACATTAAAGTTTCTAAAAAGCTGTATATTATAAACAATATAGAATTTGAATAAGCCTCTATATATAACTAAACTATTTGAAATGATTAAAAAAATAATGCCATACCCAATTTTCTCAAAAAACCCCAGTAGGATGAGAATAAGGAACACTAAATAAAAGTGGAATGTGAAGTGATCGCGTAATTATTTCTTTTTAAATACGAGTTCAGTTAAGAGAATGGAAACTATGGTGAAATATAACGTTTGAGAACATTCGATGCTTTTCCGTTTAAATACAATTAAAGATGAGAAAATATGCGATTAGTAACAGTAAATTATAATACAACCATCCGTTATAGAAAGGTAATGTTTGCTTATTTGTGTCTATGTTTCATATGATAACTTTGTAATAAACACACAAACTGAATTAAATGCTTAAACGGATAGTAGTAGCAAAATGACACAAACAAAATAAGCTGAAGTAAGAGATTTAGAATATAAGTAGTTTGTTTTTTTATTCGTATTAAATTTTTCGATCATCTTTAGAATCAAGTTTATCTTGGCTTGATATAATACTATTTGAACGACTTGGATGTAGAGATTCTGTATTAAGATTACTTAATTCATTAGTAACCGGAGGAGTATTTGGTCGACTGAATGATAATTTTTTTATTTTAGATCCTAAACGCTGAAGCTGTGATCCTACTGAAGCAAGCAATGTATCCGGATGCAGATGTACACTCTCTCGATCAGGCGTTAAAGAGTGTAATGAAGAAGACAATTTCGACTCTGTTTCTTTTGCAACTCCGGCTACTTCCAATGATCCAATTAAAGCTGTATGTGATGGTCGACGTTGACGAGTCGGTGGTAATTGAGGCCAAGGTGTTTCAATATCAGCAGGTGATCCAAAAGTATGAGATGTTGATGGATAATTTTCATCGCATAAATCAGGTGTCAAAAAACTGCCTCTTCGACTACCTTCGCCTTTTGACCGTGTACTAATTTTCCTTCGACGACTACCAGGAATATGATATCGATTATAATAATCTGGATCATGGACAGTAGTATCATCAGTTTGATCATCACCAGTGTAATCATTGTCAACATCAGTGTCAATATCAATCTTGCAACCAGTTTTTACTAATTCAGGAATTAAATTCGAATCGGCAATACATGTATCTACAAAATATAAACTTGTATTTAAATTTCTTTCCAATAATGGAACAACTTCGAAATCATCATCATCTAAGCCGAATGGTGAAACAAGTGATTCAGCTACTTTAAGCCAACCATTATAAAAAATAAACGAAAGAATTGTAAATACTGGAATATTTGGTACCACTTTAGGAAATGATATACCATGAATGATATTCGTATCATTGACAGAATTGTTAAGAATACTATTACTATCATTATTACTGTTGGTTGATGTGAAATTAGATGAATTGGTCGACAAAGGCGATAAAATTAAAGGTGCATCAATAAACTGATGACCGAAAATTGTCATAGCAAAATAAATGTACACAGCCAACGCTACAACCTGAGAAAAATAAAAGTGAAAATGCAAAGAATCTATAAATTAATAATAAATCATGAGTTCACTTTTAAATAAGGACAAAAGTAAAACAAAATTAGACAAACAGTAATAATAATATTAACAACAACAACATAATTTTATGGTTCACATCATGAAATACAATTATGTAATCATTGGAAACCACAAAGTATTCGACAACTATTTTGTCCTTGTGTGTAAAAATTCTCAGTAGTAGCAAGCATTCACAAACAGGACAAGGATTGAACTAAAGACCTTTAAGTATCGTGATGAGCGCTTAACCTTGATACACAGTTAATGACATTCCTACTAGATTTAGTCAATCAGTGGTACAATTTTCTTGCTGATTACTTGCATCTGACACAATTGATGAATCACGAAACATAAACCAAAAACTATCTACTTACTATGAGAAGCCGCAGATTGATAAGGTTTCACTTTTATAGATAGCATATATATGATAATATATCAAATATTATACACAAAATCCAATGACCAATATCTCCTACGTCAAGAAATTGACGATTTAGTTGGGTTAGTAATCGATAAAAAGGATACACTATTGTAACAATCTGCAGTAAAAAGACGTATCACGACCTAACATATTTATTCGAATAATTGAAGAACATTGGAAAAGTAAAGTTTGATTATTTATGGAGTTAGCAGTGAAAACAAAGTATCTGAAAGAAAATTAACATAGACAAAATATTCCATTTTGAACAAATGCATTATGAGCAGACTAAACGATTTCCTACACATGATAATTGGTAATTCAAAGTTGAATGATCAATACTTATTTCCCACCCTAACTACCAACAACTGAGATATAAGTAAAGATAGAAAAACACTGGATAATTTCCTCAAACGATGTTACTAACAGCGATCATTACAATGAAAACTGAATATTTATGCCGCTGGCTAATCTGGTATTGAACATCGCGATCAGGAATCCTAATAGATGGAGCAAAATGGGAATTTCTGTACATTTTTAAAAAAATACCAATACAACAACTTAAAATTTTCCTTCTTCGGTACAATTTAGCTAAATGTTCCAGATATAGAACATTTTTAAATGAATATAATAAGTTTCCTCAATTTTTTAATTAGGTGCAACAACAGACAAATGGTTTCTACAGCAATACCGCCTTCTCACAACGGAAAAGGGCATTCAAAAAATTTCGGTCGGTCATATAGGACATTTCACTTCGTTCCATAGATATCTACTGCTGCAATCAAGGCCTGAGAAGTTTACAGCTAATATGTGAAAAAGTAGTTGAAAAACAACTCCACCTGCAGCCCCTCCAGGGCTACTGCCGGTCCCAGGCTCAGGATTAGAATTGGCAAGCACAAACCGTAGAAAACTAACTTCTTAAAAAAGGCTAACAAGAAGAAATAATTCAAACCATCTCAATTCTGTTCTGGGAGTTCGATCTTTATTAAGAAAAAACATCTTTTAACTTGGCGACCCTCAAAATCAGCTCAACGCTGGACTTAACTAGACTACATTGTTGTCAGTCATTGGTGGAGAGGCTCCGTTTAGACCGCCGCTCATTCTGGAGCATTTGTTTATAATCAGACCATGCTCTAGTGCGAACACATATTCGTTTGTGGCTTAATGGGCGTAAGAAAAACACTGCAAGGAAACCTATTAGGGCTCTACTTGACGACAGTAGAGCTAAGAATATATTTCAGGAGCAACTCGAAAAACAGTTAGCGGCCATTTAAGTGATGCCTACCCTGAGGCAGCTTGGAATGATATCCAGAAAGCTGTGGAAACAGCAGTGATACCTCATAGTAAGGTAAACCATAAGGTCGAGAAGATGTGGATGTTAGTAGTGTCCATCGAGCTGACAGACGCTAGGAAACTCATGTAGAAACAGACGAGATAACGAAGAGCGAAGTCAGCTCAAGTGCAGGCTGATAAACAGACTACGACATGATCGCGAACAGTGTTGGGTAGAGAATGCGAGGGATATAGAAAAGGCATCAGCGATAGGCAATAGTAGATAACTTTTCCGCCTTAGCAAGGAAACCGGTATTATATATCCATCTGTTAGGGAAACTATCTCGGGGAAGAATGGGTTTATCATAGATTCTCAATCCAGGAGATTGGATCGATGGGCAGAACACTTCAGGGATCGTTCAACTGGCCTTCAGTCACACTTCGGTTGCTCACAATCTCCAAACAACCTGAGTGGCACATCGATGTAAGACCTCCGACTCTTTACGACGTTGAGAAAGCTATAGAAAATGTAAAGTGAGGGAGAGTAGCAGGTCCTGACAAATTGACCGTTTGGATTTTTAAGAATGGTGGTTCAGTTTCAGCAGTTAAATTGACTGAGATATCAGGTAGAATTTGAGAACTGGACATAATCTCATCTGAATGGTCTCAATCGCTGACTGTCCCAATTTATAATCAGGAACAAAAGTCCTCTTGTGACAATCACAGAGGAATCAGTCTAACTAATATAGTATCGAAAATATTGGCCTCAACAAGACTCAGGCACCTAACTGGAGCTCGAGAAAATCAGGTCTGTTTTAGGCATGGACGTGGATGTATAGACCAAATATTCACACTACGACAGGTTATAAAACGAAGACACACATTTCGGCGTCCCAGAATAGTTGTATTCCTGGACATTAAGACGGCATTTGACTCTGCTGATCGTGAAGTTGTGTCAGTGTCTGTCATTGAAAGGCATACCAAAGAAGTACACTAACCTTATACATGCTCTCTACTCGAACACCACCAGTTGGGTGAGAGCTTATGGCGAACTGTCATCAGAATTCTTTACTTCAAGTGGTGTTCGTCACGGATGTCCACTTTCTCCATTCTTCTTTAACTTTTTCATAGACATGCTTTCAGAAATATCATTATCCTCGACTGAATTTTCAGGAATGGATCTTCTACCACGAGATACGCTTGTTGACTTAGAATATGCCGATGACATAGTTCCACTTGGTGAAGACGCTGACAAAAATGTATCCTGAGACAATCGAGTAAGCAATGCAGTTGTTAAGAAACGGGTACTAGATAAGAATGACAGATCAATAGATCAAGTGGTGAAACTGTATCAGTTGAAGTGGTTGAGATATGTGTTACAAAATGCCTAACCACCCACTACCTCGATGAACTATGTTTTGTGGTGTAGGAGTAGTATGCAAGAAAGCTAGGGGTGGTCAGACCAAAACATGGCAGAAATCTATGAAGTTACTGACAAGTGGACTGAGTTATGTTGGTAGGTGCAGGCTACCTGGCTGGTGTCCGCGAAACGATAGTAATCAATGGTTAGAGACCTTGAATGACACTTCTCCAAACCGTTTGAAACGATGCAGGTGTATCCACTATTTGTGTTCACTCAAATCCCAAGCTTCTGATTTCCTCATCACTGTTTTTTCTCATTATTTATTTGATTCCTCTGGGTTATACATTTCGAATGACATATTCGATCATTAATCTTATTGATTACAGCTAATACTTCTACTACCTCTTCCACTATGGTATTTGAATTGACAATTGCATCTCTGTGCTAATGTGTTATGGCAACTGGAACTGATGTACATACGTACGAAGTTCCAAGCTATAAATGACTCACTGGCTTGCGAAACAGTTTTAAGTGGCCTGTTTAAAACAGCCGTCCTCAGGACAATGAGGTTGTTAGCATCACTGACCACTGCTTACTGAATTTGTTGTCCAGGCCTCTCAAGAATAAGTGTATCCTTAGAAGATTCGGGCAACCAGGAAGTAATAACTATCCATTCTAAATCTCCTCACCGCTTTACAATATTCTTTTTGTACCCACTAACAACCCTTCTTGTATAACTTTATATTCAATTGCCACCAATGTTAGCGATTCAAGTGCAGTTAATATTGTTTCCGGTTTCTTGACGTTGAGCTCTTAAGAACATGTGGAAACTCTTACTATTCAAACCCTATGTCGAATCAGACTCTAGGATCACATTGTATTGATACACACACTGTCTCCGAAACAGGTATTCACAATTTAAATGTAATCAATTGTTTGGTCTTAACTGATCAGTACAGAAAGCTGGAGAGATGGGTGGAATACGTTAAACTACCGTTTGCCCTGTCTTCGATTACTCTATAATTACCTAATATCACTAGAAAACGTGCATGGACTGTCAAAATAAAGCCCCTGACTCTGAACAAGGTTGAAAAGATCAAAGCTGATCTAAAGCGAGAGAGTAGAAGGCTTTGATGGATTAATCTCAAAGATGGTCAAGGATGATAGTTCAATTTATGCAATTTGATTGAAAGAGATATTATTTCAAGTCTGGGAACTGGATATAATTCCATCTGGCTAGTCTTAGTCGCTGATCTTCTCAGATTATAAGAAACGACAAATATTCTTTTTCAATAATCATAGAGAAACCAGTTTGACTACTACAGTATTCAAAATATTAGCTCCAGTAATCATCTGAGGCTAAAATAGAGCTCACAAAGAAAATCCAAGAAACCTAGGCTTGTGTCAGGTTTGGAAGTGAATGTATCAACCAAATATTTACTCCTCGTCAGGCCCATGAAAAGAAATACATCTTCCGACGTCCGACTGAGGTCGCATTCTTTGACATTAAGGCAATGTATACTCCATCAGTGATCAGTCGTCCTGTGTAGAATATTTGCTGTCTAACGACTAAATACAAAGGGATTTCTGAAAATTTATAACAGGATGTTCTTGCCATTTAATCAACTAGTTGTAACTAGAGTGTACAGTGAAATAAGTTTATCAGACCTATTTGTTAAACTATCACCGAAACAAAATAAGTCATTAAAAAATAGCAAAGAAATTACAATGATGGTTATATCGACTAAGCAAAAACATTTAAACATTGGAAAATATTTGTAGTGAATTAGTTTGTAGAATAAAAACAGAACATAATATAGAAACTTAATCCAAATCCGACAGTAGTAAATGTGGTTACAGCATCAGAGGCAACATCGAAGATACCATTCAACGAAATGG